CATAAAACGTGTGTGATAAATATTTTGATATCACGAGCGTATTTTCATCTTTTAGACAATCATCACCGTTATCTAAATTTTTTTACACGCAGTCTCTTGTTTGCTGATCTGTCAAAGTGAGCATACTTTGACACGTGAATTTCACATGCCTGTTTTTTATTTGTATATTTTGTTTTTTATCTTTTTACTACCGAAGATTTGAGTTATGCTACACGAGTGTGCTGTAAATAGTGATATGGATATAAGGTGCGCCACCCTTTTTGTTCATATAAAATATCGCTAAATTTGAGTTAATGTTTATACTCTGAGCAGGGTATATTAAGTAAGCCACGAAGTTTTTAACACCCAAAGGAAACGTCCAAGACCCTATAAATTATACATTATATATAAATGATTAGCGTGACGAGCAAAGCCAATTTGGCCATGGGCTTTGTCTGTCCGTCCGTCTGTCTATATATAAGCGAACTAGTCTCTCAGGTTTTGAGATATCGATCTAGAATTTTGCTCATGTCCTTTTCTCACCATGAAGCTGCTTATTTGTCGAAACGGCAGATATCGGACCACTAAAGCATATAGCTGCCATACAAACTGAACGATCGAAATCAAGTGCTTATATGGAAACTCTTTCATTTGATGAGATATCTTCATCAAATTCGACACATATTATTGTCCAAAATCATACTACAATCTTAATTGTTTAGATCGGACCACTAGACCATATAGCTGTCATTGAAACTAACCCTTCAAAATCTAGTTGAAGACCATCAAAAAGGTCTGTTTTCGCTTTTAAATAGCCTTAACTTAACGTGAAGTTTGTTAAATTATGCAACGTGGCTAGAAAGAACTTGCAAAACTGGTTGGCCAGTCAAAGACACCTTTATTTGACATCTGAGGTCTAGAAAATTTTTATTGTCGAAATATTGAAACCAGTAATTGTGAGGTATTCACGAGCAGATATAATAAACCTATAGCTACTAAAAAAGTTTTTTAAAAACTGTTATATTTTGTTTGATAAATTATAGCCTAAAATGCTATGCGATCTAATTGCTGTTTATTCTATAACTAGAAAATTAGCCATTAAATCACACACATTTTCCATAAAAATGTTCGATACTATACAAAAAAAGATAACTGTCTTCAAAATAACGCCAGAGGTAATAAAGGTCTTTGCGAGCACAAAACGATAGTTCACATGCGGACTAAGTCAAAAATTGTACACTGGTACCACCAACCACTTAACACAATTAGCAAATGCGACAGTTGACAGTGGCCACTGGGTCCGTACATTTTGTTCAACCTAAATTCAAATACAGCCATTTATGCCAAGCCCTTTAAATATATTACAAAAAGTCGATAGCCTCCTTACATAAATTTAATTCTTATCAACAAAACTGGCGTTTAATGTCTATTCTATCAGAAAGCTTTGCGTCAAACATTTACGAGGTCACACGTGTGGACGGGTGCAGTAAAACCACGACATAATGTCAATAGGGAACTAAATTTCTAAATTATTAAATTCAATTTCGATGAGACACTCACTTTCATATAAACTGTAAATATTCTTAGATTTATTCTCAACTAACATAACCAAAAAATTTTGAAGAATATAAGAAGAAAATAAAATTAAGTTTTGTAGGACAGTAGAAATAAGAATAAATAGTTTCGAAACAGGGGTCCACAAATATATAAAAAGAAAAAAAAATTCACCGCACGTATTACGCTAGTAAATTCGCTTTTTAAAAATGCTTGTGCTAAAATTTTTCAATATTTTGTCTCCACATATCGATGTTTTACAGTATCTTCAAGTGTCTCAAAAAGCAATGTTGAAAGTGTATATGGTGGATCGTTGTTATATATAGAATCGGTCGTTAAACTTTTTTCGCAATACATCAACACTTTATCTATTGTTTAAAAGGCGGCGCACAGTGTTGCCAGATAGCATTGTAAAATTTGTAAACGTTTTTTAAAAGCTCAAGAGTAAAACATTCTTTTATTTTATTGTGACAAACATATATTTTCGTAAAGATTTTTGGTAATTAAAAAATCAAACACTATATCAATTGTTTTAAATTGTTTAGAACTTACAGTAAAAGTTTTGTAAAACAAAAAGAAATATTTTTCGATTTACATGCCTTCTCCGACTGCGCTAAAAAATATCCTCCACTGCTGCAGTGATTCCGGCTTTCTCCGTGAATAAAACCCGAAAAAATCTCTAAGAGAGGATATTCTCATACAATAATCGAGGAAAACGGTCGAGGAAAAACTTTTAAATTAACAATATAGCATCGTTTAAATAAAAATGTTTAATTTTACCTGAAATTTTGACCGTTTTTGGCTTACTGGCTCTTAGCAAATCCAGTCTCGCCGCAATTGTAGGTGTTCCAACTGTTCAATAGGTTTCCACGCGGTGCAGCTAAATATTCTGTCGCTCTTTGACGCTCTGAAAGAAGGCGAAGCTTTCCAGCTTTCGCCTGACTGAAGCCTTTGGCAAAATAGCGAAGCTGCAGAGATTGATATTAACTGCTTGAATTTTGAGGTGAGCTCAAAACTTGGTCGTTTATTGAGAAGCTGGCGATCCATTTTTGAGAGTTTATTGGTAATACAAAGGACGTGTATCTGTTCAAGTGAGATCCAACGATTTTTGGATCAACCTAACCTCACCTAGCCAAATTTCGATTTTTGATCAGATCAAATATAGAATATGCAGAAAAATTTGTTAGTGATCAGATCATTTGTCTCCGAGTAATCACTGCTGCAAATTCGAAGAATTCTGTTTCGAGAAAATCGCGTTTGAAGTTAAACTGATAGAGCTGATTGAACTGTGTTGTAGACTTTTAAAGCCTGTAACACAAAAACTATTTGAAATACACATTTAGAATGGTTTTCAAAATTTTACACTAGTTGTGCCTTTTATAGATTGGGAAAATATTCGATATCTGCTTCTTTCATAAAAATCAACCCAAATTTCTTATTAATATATACTCGTAGTATTAATAATATAAAAAAATATTTAATATTCATCTGGCAACTCCATGCTAAAACTATATTTGCGAACACCCACGAAATTAGCTGAAACAACTACGGTTTTAACTGATTTCGAAAAGTTTTAGTTTCTATTATAACTTAACGCTCGAAAGGTGGCACAAGAAAATTAATTATCTGTGGGTTATACCCGTAATACACACGCTATTTCAGTACTATATAATATTAAAAAAAAGTTTGCCAATTTTGTGTTTGTTATTTATAAAGCAAAAGATATTTTTAATGATTGGACTTTTTATGAAAGTAAATACGAGCTCATTTAAAGAGGAATACAGAGAGAGCCGGAGAATTTTAGGCTTTCGCCTCACCCACTATACCTATTAACGGGAAAAGATTCATATTCTGAAATCAACCTTAAATATTAGGATAAAAAAAACGGTGCTGATAACTTCTTTACTAATCAAGTTATCACTTGCGCCTTTAGATGTGAATGAAGAGAGATACATAGCGTATAGTATACATGTATAAAGAGATTGGGAAGTTCAGATGATTTCTGTCATATTCAGTTTATATTGTTAGAAAGTGTAAGTGTAAAAGTTATGTGAGATCAGTTTTGAGTTTTTCGAGATGTGCACCTGAAATAGCGCCTATCGATGGCAACTGTATAGAACAGCTATGTCTAAATCCATTCCATTTGTTGGATATGTGTCCAGATGATTTAATATAGTTTTGTCGGAAATCGTTAGTTGAACATATTTTGTGATGAAATCGTACAAAATGACAGCTAGTATAAATTGCTACCACACCCAGCACTAGCATGAACACTCTCTTTTATATGAGTTAAATCTCTTTATCGTAGGATATGAAAATACACGCTTATATACCTAGATACAAATCTTAATCTACAGATGTCATGATGGTATTTTTAAAAACAGCCAAAACGTGTCGAATAATAGCCTAATCTTTATCATAACCGTGTTATTAAAATTATATAATATTATAGCCTTAACCCATTCAGGCGACGATTCAAATAGAAAAACTGAGAAAATAAATTTACTATAAATAGCTCAAATCATACTATACTTTGTATCGGAAAAGAGTATTCTTCGAAATTATATCGTTAACCCACCTCTAATTTGTAAACAAATTTATTGAATCGATAACTTATTACTAAAGAGAAAAGCTTTTGACTAAAGTGCGATCGTAATCAAGAGATACAAAAAATTGAATTTTAATAAAAAGGATATCCTGAACAAATATTCCCAAGTAAAGATGTCAAAAAGCATTTCTAACCAAAGTGAATAACAAACCGAAAATCGTAAAATTTGTCTCAAACAGCTTTCTGTTTTTTAATTACTCAGTTTTTTGATTATAATAAATATATATCATCTGATCAAATTTGACCCGGACTGGTCCATATAAACAGAGCGTAAACCGTATCGATACAAATTTTTTTTCTTAGACTGGTACAACCGAAAGACCTAAATCGTTTTTAAAAGCGATGTTGAGTAGAGATCACAAAAGAGATACGTAGCTAAGGAACCGACACTCATCAAATGCTTCATTACTGTTAACAAGACGTTGGTTTATGACTACGACGTCAGAACTTTTCAACAATACAGCGAATGGCGCTCCAAAACTGAGTCGAAACCGAAGGTATCAAAATTCGCTAAAGGCACTGAAGGCGCTAAAGGCACTGAAGGGCTTATAACAATATTATGAAATATTGGATAACGCATTGGCATACATTTATTGGCTAAGACGCCTATTTTGAAGCCGATAATAAAGATTTTTATTAATATTCTTTCTTTTTTTTTTTGTCAGTCCGGGTCAAATTTGATCAGATGGTAAAAAGATTTTGGTGAAAAATATTAGTCATTCATGGGTTAAATTAGACTTTATTGGCTGCATAATGAGTCTTATATCTAGCACATTTAATAAAGCTTGTTGTTTGCTGCGTCATGTCGAATAAAGGTTCGCAAGTAAAGTGATTTCGGAAAGTATAAAGCGAAAACATAAAAAAAATAGTATATAAGGCAGTGATGATGAAATTTCTAATGGTGAAACGTTTATCACGTGCAGATTTATTTCTCTTACTATAAATTCAAGTGACGGAATTCTGACGAATCAGTGCTAGTCTCCCAACTAAGCAAGCTGCAGTAAGTTAAAAAGACACTACACTCCAGAGCAACGAACTTCAGCCAACGAAGAAGGACAACGCTTGACAAAATGATGAAGTTCGCAACAAGTTTCATCATCGTCCTGACACTAGTGGTCACAGCAAAGTCCGATCGTAAGTAAGCAAAATTTGCATTGATCTCCAATTGGTTTTTAACTAACACATGCCACACGCAGTAGAGGATCCTCACGACTTCTTCAGACCAACGCTTTCACGTGCAAATATGTTGGCTAGCGGTATGGTAGTTGACAATTCCGCTGTGCCTGTGGAGGAACTCGACCCGAACTTTTGGCGCAAATCGGCCAATGACGAAATTAGCAAACGTTTGGCCGACAAACTTAATACTAACAAAGCTAAGAATGTCATCTTTTTCCTTGGTGATGGCATGTCTCTGACCACGGTTACCTCGGCGCGTATACTTAAGGGACAGCGTGAAGGTAAACCGGGTGAGGAGTCGCAACTGAGCTTTGAGAAATTCCCGTACACCGGTTTGAGCAGAGTAAGTTTTCACCAAAGACATACATAAATGGAAATTAATTTTATTACGTAAAATATGTCTTTAGACCTATTGTGCTAATGTTCAAGTACCTGATTCGGCTTGTACCTCGACTGCATACCTCACAGGCGTTAAAACCAATGTCCTGTCATTAGGTATTGGCCCAAATGTGACCTATAACGACTGTGAGGGTGCTATGGATCCAGCTAATGATCTTACATCCCTCTACGATTGGGCACAGGCAGCTGGTAAATCTACCGGTTTCATCACTACAACCACATTGACGCATGCCAGCCCCAGCGGCGGTTATGCGCACGTCTCGAATCGTATGTGGGAATGTGATACCGATGTACGCACCTATCTCGATGACGATTACACATCAGATTGCATTGATATTGCCACACAGCTGGTTACTGAAGAACCGGGACGTAAATTGGATTTCATAATGGGTGGTGGTATTGGTAAATTTTTACCAAAAACGATGATCGATCCGTTCGGTAAACCCGGTGAACGTTCGGATGGTAAGAATTTGCTCTCCGAATGGCAACGCCGACATGAAGGTGGCGTTTTCGTCAGCAGTCGCAAACAGATGAACGCAATCAATATTGAAAAAACCACCAGCGTTTTGGGTATCTTCCAATCGAAATTGATGAATTACCATCTTCATGCTACCGAAAGTGAGCCCACCTTATCCGAAATGACCGAAACAGCAATTAAGTTTTTGAGCAAGAACAAGAATGGTTACTTCGTTTTCATTGAGGGTGGTCTCATCGATTACGGTAATCACGCAAATAAGCCTGGTCTCAGTCTTGATGAGACTTTGGAATTCGCAAAGGCTGTAGAGTTGGCGCGTAATATAACAGATCCCGCAGATACACTCATCGTCGTTACCGCCGATCACGCCCATCCACTCAGCATCTCTGGTTATCCCGAACGTGGCAATGATATTTTGAATATCAACAAAATCGGCTATGACAGGAACGGTGTACACTATGCCACACTCAACTATGCAGCTGGTCCTCAGCAATATTTGGATGAGTATGGCGATCGCATCGAATTAGAGGGTCAATTCGGAGATCCAGGTTAGTATCACAATGAGATTTTTAAGAAATGAACTGATTGTGATTTTTGTGTTGGCAGATTTCGTCTTCCCCAGTTATATTAGCGTTAACGATGGTGTGCATGGTGGTGATGATGTGGGCATATTCGCTTCCGGCCCTTGGGAGCATCTCTTCCGCGGTGTACTCCAACAGAATACTCTGCCACATATGATGGCTTATGCCGCCTGTATTGGTGATGGCGCTAAAGCTTGCGATTAAGTTCTAAGCAACCAAGCCGTTTTAAATATATGCAAACATATACACATATAGCATACATACATTTAATGATAAAAAACAACAAACGTCCGTTTATGATAAACGTCCGCCCAGAAACTCGTTTAATCGCAAGTCAACTTAGTGCTAAGCATGCTAATTCTGTCGGCTGGAGATAACACTCTGTTCTTGTATGCATGTGCTATATTTAAATAAAGAGATTAAAAAGTAACACTTCTTTGGCTTTTATAGAATCTTTGTAAACTTAATTTCGCTATGTAAGGAAGAAGTTACCACCCGACAGCTTTTAGCTTAGGTTAACCAAATCACCATATTATGGACCATACAGTTAATGGTTCTGCCATAAGGTATACAAATCTTTTGCTTTCAGCACTTGCTTAATAAAGAGCTTTATGCCAAATCTGCTGGAATGCCTGATATTGAATTTCATTCTAAGTTGAGTGGCTGTCGAACCTCACAGCACACTTCACTCTCTATATTAATTTGCCTTCCAACTAATCTAAGTGTTATTCCTGATATTATCCTAGATAATTTGACCCCTAAACCAAAATACACCATTCTACTGTAAGAGAGAACTATTCTATTGTCGTATTTATTGTTCTATGAAGGGCACTTGTCATTATTCAACTTCATGAACTCTCTCTCATGTGCACAGTTGTCCAGCCTTTCATCACCTCTCTGCTTATGCTGCGATCCTCTCGAAAGCAGCACATTTTCGCTTGATTATTCCGCTGAAAAACTGCAGTATAACTCAATTCGATTTAGTATATATAGATCGATGGATATACTGGCGTTGTTAGGGTGATTTCTTGGATATAAAAAAGGTCATTAGGTATTTATGGTATAAACGAACGAATACACCTACTTAACACATTTGATATTATACGAGCGATCTATGTAATAGTTGCAATAGATCTTATACACGCTAAGATTGGTCTATATCTGAACCACTTATCAACCCGTTTTATAGGTTATTTAGAGATACTACTCTATTTAATTTAACATCCCTTTGCAAACATTAATTTGGATGAATATAGTGAAACTAAAAATACAAAACTTCAATACCGACAACATTAATGTCTAAAGCTTCTTCCTAAGAAATCTTCACAAACCGATTTAATTTTTGAATACATATATAATTAACACAAAAATGGATTAAGAGTACAGTTTTTACACATACATACATACATCATATCACGACTAGTTTAATTTTTTGTGATCTGCAAAAAGCTTTTATAAAAGCTTTTCCTATTGCTGACCGTTGGAGAATTTCAGCACTTTCAAAAGATACTCAGAGGACTTAACAAAATGTAAAGCAGCTGTGACTTTCCACTCAAGCTTTATTTGTGTTCGAGTGAGATTGCGAAAGCTTATTATTTATAAAAAACGATATTAACTGTCCATATATTTTGCAATTGCTAATGTTAGGCAATAAAATGCCTTATCTGAGAATTCAAAACTTTTTTTACTTAGAACATGTAATTAGCTACTAACAATGTATCAAGGTAAATACATTACTGAAGTTTCGTTGCGATATTTCACATTTTGAAAACTCGTCTAATATGTGAATAAATTGGTGAGACTGTTTAACATATTTATACTTACGAACGAAATTTAACATGGGACAGAAGGACCTTGCGACTGTTGCTACTAGTTGAGCAACGCTTGCTGAACTTGTCTAACAGTCAGTAGTAAACCTCAGAAAACTAACGGAGCTCCTACCCGTTCCCACTCCGTAGTTAATGAGACTGAAGTACCTGTGCTAGTAAACTCATCAGCCTTGCAGTTTCCTGCAATGCCGCTGTGGCCAGACACTCAAGCCAGTCTAATCGCGTAGTAACTTGATGCTAGAGATAAGGAGTAGGGTGTCCGTTATTTCCCAAATTGATTTTTGACTCTGCAAAAAAATTAATGAATCGTCTTTGCGGCATGGGTTATTATCAATATTAAGAGCTCATATGAGTTTCATAATTTTTTTTAGGGCATTTACTAAAAATTTTAGGGGCGCTGCAGAGTCAAAAATCAATTTGGGAAATAACGGACACCCTAATAAGGAGTCTAGACATCCATTCACTAGCTCGAACTTACAGTGAACAAGCTTAAGGCTAATATCGTTGCCCTACTATATGTTAGGATGCGATAATCAGCACTTTGAAGAAGGCTGCACACCGAGGAACTCAATCTACTGCTACTTTTATGACGGCCACATTCACTATACTAAAACTAAAGCTGATGGATTGTTCGCGTTAGTGGCAATTTAAGCTACATCACTCATATTTAATGTGAAAGTTTAGTTGGCCTACACTATAGCTTAATAATAGGCGAAAACGGTTCAGAACCATACGCAGATTTAATATAAAGCTTAGTCTGAAAGTACTAAAAGTGTGTAAGCTGTCCAAAAAATAACATCAGATACGCCAAATTTTACTTCGAGGATCATAATATGTCAACCAAGTCAAAACTTGAGCGATGCTTTCACTTTTAGGTGAAATTTCTTATTTTATGAGATCTCGATCACTATACCCTTGCAACATGTTGCTACAGGATACGAATATGTGAACCACAGTTCCTATTGCGAAAATAATCCTTTCCCGATCATACTATACCCTTTTTCAAATATGGGTACAATCGGATCAATACTTCCCTCAGCCGCCTTAGTGTTAACATAAAATTTTGTCAATGCCTGAAAATGACAAGTGTGTAAAATGTTCGATTACAGCCGAACTTAGCTCTTCCTTACTTGTTTTTAACTAAGATAGTAGATAGTGGACGAAATCGGACCACAACCATGCCCACTCTCTCATCTCTGACCTCTGATAAAGTTGAGTTTATACCGCATATTTGTATGGTATGTATACGTAAATATAATATGTAGGCTTAGTAATATAAAATAGTAATTTTTCCTAACTAGAAGGAAGAACTAGAGGACTAGGATCATTATCGCTCAGGACCTTCCTCTAGTCCTCTTATACCCTATACAATGATAAATGTCGCAAATTAGTTAAAACACGTGAAATAAAATTATAACGATATGTTTTCTTACGTTTACCGGGATTTCATGATGGAAATTGATAAAATCTGTCCAGTGCAGTCAATATAATTAGAAGAGAATAATTAAATGACCTGTAAGTTGGACTTAGCGTAACCCTCTTTGCTGAAAAGAATAAGAGAATCGGTCGACAAGTTTCCATATCTCGATTTTCGCGTCCTAGTAGCCCTTAAAGCTTCTGTTCTTTTCTTGGCTATTTTAAAAAACGTCGCTGCATTGCGTGAAAATCAGCTTGACTCAAATTTTTAGAGATATATTTTTTAGTAATTTTAGACTATATAGCGGGCCACCTTAACATTAAATAGACCTAAAAACTAAAATATGTGTTGAAATATTTCTTCTTCATCTTTTTTGTGATGAACGCCATTGAAAGGTGCACTGCAGGGGCGGACGAGAAGCAATAAAGTATTCTAAAGCATTTAATAATTTTTAAAGTGATTTGCAGGTTCTTTTTGAAGAATGTGCGAAGTCTCTTTCTGGCGGTTTTAACCAGAGCAGTGAAATTGTAGTATAATAAATAAAACAAAAGATGTGAATGCTAAAACATAATAGAAAAACGTTAACTTCGGTTGCTATAATACCCTCCACAAGTGAAGTTTTAATAGCCAAAAAGGGTATAAAAAGCTCTTTATCCGAATTTTTATCGGTCAGTTTGTAAGGAGCTATATGCTATAAAGGTTCAATCTAAAGAATTTACCCTTGCTTTGGACAATAATTTTCGCCAAATTTCGTAAAGATATCTTGTCAAATATAAAAGTTTTCGATACAAGTACTTATATTTAATCGGTCAGTTTGTATGACCACTATAGCATATAGAATTATTAGCGATTCCGACAAATGAGCAGCTTCTTGGGAAGAAAAGAACGTGTACGAAATTTCATATCGATATCTCAAAAACAGAGAGACTAGTACGCGTGTATATAGACCGACTGACGAGGGGATCATGGCTAATCTACTTTGCTCGTCACGCTGATCGTTTATACATATATATACGAGTATTTTATAGGATCTCCGACGTTACAAACTTCGTGGCTAACTAAATATACTCGTACGCTGTTCAGGGTATAATGATATTTGAGCTCGTTGCTAAGAATTATCAAACGAAAAGAGTTATAAATTTCGTAGGTGTATATACATATGATATTCTGTATCTCTATGTATTTAGCATTTAAGTTTTTTTCCCAAATGTAGAAAAATTCAACCGAAAGTAAAAATAAAAACACAGAATCATAAAGATAAGCGCAAGACTTTAGCTTCACAAGCGTCATCATGCTATGCCATATGTAATAATTAAAAAATATAAAGCGGCAGGTTGTTTTCTTGGAATCAGTGCTTGCGGTCAAATCAAATGAGCCGACTACAGGATCCGTATATATAGTTTCACTTTAAGTTAACTGTATCTCAGGAAATGTTGCATGCCGGATCAGGTGAGCACCGTGCTCGCGATAGTCAGCGTGGTGCTGACGAATCCCACCAAGTAAGCTTTCTTGCAATAAAAAAGTTTTCAAATAAATAAATGAAAAAAATAAAATAAAGTTAGTTGACGTGCACGTACCTGTAGACTTTCGAGCACCAGTCGTTTCCTAATGACCGGTTAGGCATGCCGCTAACCAATAGAATGTGCCCAGAGAAGAACTGGATCCAATTATTGGCGCAACTCGGCGAATGAAGAGTTGCAGAAACGTCTCAACAACAAGCTAAATACCAACAAAGCCAAGAATGTCATCTTCTTCCTCGGTGATGGCATGTCTCTAACCACAGTGCCCGGCGCGTATACTAACGGACAGCGTGAAGGTAAACCGGGAGGAATCACAACTGAGCTTTGAAAATTTCCCTACACCGGTTAAGCAGAGTGAGTAGTAGAAAGAAATATTTTGTGTGTATCTTAGTTTAATGAGGTTATAAAACTCCGTAGACTTACTGTACTAACGCTCAAGTAGCCGATTCGGCTTGCACCTCGACCGCTTACCTCACAGGCGTTAAAACCAATATTCTGTTTTTGGGCCTTAGCCCAAATGTCGATTTCAATGACTGCAAAGCATCCATGGATCCAGCAATGATCTTACATCTCTTACGATTGCACAGGCCGCTGGTAAATCTACCGGTTTCATCACTACAACCACGTTGAACATGCCACCCATGGCGGTTATGCGCACGTCTCGAA